GCGTCCTGCAGGAACATCTCGAAGGACTTGGTGCGCGGGTCTCGTTGAGGCTGAAGCGCAGGCAGAGGACGGCGAAGAGCTGGGGGTGCTGGGCGGGCACGCTGGGCGCGTAGATGGAGTCGATGCCGATGCCCACCGCGGTGAGCTTGGCGCCGGGGTCGGCGTAGTCGCAGAGGAATGCGTACTCAACGTTCACGAGGCTCTAGGGCCAATCGGCGGCTGTCTTGCCAATTGGGTACTCGTCGGCGTATTCGAGCATGCACTCAATGGCGTCCTGGACGTTCACCTTGAGCTCGTCAAGCGTCTCTCCCTGTGTAAAGCAGCCGGGAAGTTCAACGACCTGGGCCCAGTAGCCGGTCTCGTCTTCCTCGGTGTCATGGACGAGGACCGTGTAGCCGTTGTGATTGAAGGTCGTTCCCTCGAGTCGCTGTTTGGACGTTGTCATTGCACCCTTCCCTTGCAGAGCGGCTCAAATCTGGTCCAAGAACTCCTGCTCAGTAACGCCAGCGTTCTCGATAATGCCCTTCATCGTTCCGATGCTGATTGTACCACTGGGTATGACCAAAGTGTTTCCATTGAACACTACCAAGCAATGGCTTCCCTTGCCCCTCCGCTTGAGCACTGTACCGCCCAAGCGGATAAATGCGCGTATTGCCTCGCGCTGCCGTATGTCTCTCAGGGTTGGGGCCAAGATGTGTCCCCCAAAACGAAGAGTGCAGGGCCTACCCATCACGCCCCGCACTTCAATTCGCCCTGAGAACAATTGCTGTTAGCAGTTATAGCACAACCACGTTGAATGGCAAAGGGGCTTGCCGTGTCCAAGTCGGCCCCACCACCCCCTCACGCCCCTGCTGACGGGCGTTGCCGCGTCGCGAGGGCCGTTGAGGTACGCGCCGATGGGCGTGTGCCGCACGCCGACGTGGTACGACGCGAGCAGCACCAGAGTGACCACCACAATGATGAGCGCAAACTTGAGGTGGACACTGACGTCCCAGTCGACCGCCAGCCCCTGTCCCACCCCGACCAGGGGCAGGTGCGCCAGGTAGAGCCAGTAGGTCGAGTCCGACACGTAGCGGACCCAGGGGCGCTCGGTGGCGGCGATCCAGCGGAAGAGGCCCATGAGGCCGAAGCACATGAGCCAGGTGTACGCCACCTGCACCACAGTCCCCAGCGCCCAGACCGCGCCCGCCGTGTCCTCGTCGCCGGCGTCGTATGCCTTCGCCGCCCAGCGCAGCAGGAACATGGCCAGCGGGTAGAGCACGAGCAGCGTCGGCGGCACGGCGGCGGCCCACCACTTCGGGACGGTCACGCTCTCTTGGAAGAGGTATGCGCCAAAGAGGAAGAAGATGGAGTAGTAGGCCAGCACGTTGGTCGCGATGATCAGGCCCGTGGAGGTGTCGGCGCCGACACATGCATGTGAACTGCGCCAGGAGCGTCAGCGGCACGAGCGCCCACCATGCCCACCGGTGGGTGAAGGTGACGCCCATCTGACCGACAGGGCAAACAGCCCCACGAGCCACAGCAGGTGCCACAGGAACCAGAGGTGGTGGAAGGACTCGAGCCACGAAAACAGCCAGACGAAGGCCGCCATGACGATGACGGGGTCCCCGACGGGAAGTCCTTCGCGAGGTCGTAGTCGGATGTGACGATCCACACCCAGGAACTCAGCGGGACGATGGTGAAGCAGCCCACCGCCAGTGGCAGCCCGACGCGCTGCAGCCGATGTTTTAGCACGCTACCGAGGCCCCGACGCTGCCAGAGCATGGCTGTGAAGAAGCCGCTGAGGAGGAAGAACACCGGCATGCGGAAGCCGTGGATGACGTTGACGATGTCGTCGTATGGGAGGGACTCAGAGGCATTCTTGTCCTCGACGGGCCAGGCCTCCGGCACGAGAAACAGGCGGCGTGCAGGACGATGCCGAGGAGCATCGCCACGCCCCGCAGCGCGTCGAGGTCGTGGTAGCGGGGCGAAGTGGCTGCGCGCTCGAGATGAGGGGGTGACGTTGGCGTCCATGCTCCCATGGTAGGGCAGCCGCGTGACGTGAAAAGCGGGGAGCCGGGCTACGCCTTCTGCTGGGCGAGGTCCTGTGCGCTCGAGCTGCTCACGGGTGGCGCTTCGCGAGGATGATCACCGCCGCCAGTAGCGCGTAGCCAACCATGACGGCGACGAAGCCCCAGAAGTAGGAACCGAAGGTGTCGTAGACCAGGGCGACCATGAAGGGACCAATGGCCGTCGTCACGCCCTGGAAGGGGCGCATGTAGCCGGTGATGGCGCCGATGTGCCCTCGGCCGAAATAGTTGGCAACGAGCAGCGGGCGCATCATGAAGCCGCCGCCCATGGTCGCCCCAAAGGTCACCATGAAGGCGAAAAGCATTAGCGGCCCCATCACGTAGATCAACAGGAGGACAGTCGACGCAGTGATGAGCGACTGGATGACGAGGAGGTAGCGCACCGGGTGGCGGTCGGCCAAGATTCCCCACCAGAGCCGGGCGCTCACGGAAAAGAAGCCGTAGACCGTGAGGGCAAGCGCCGCTGTGCCGGCGGTGAACCCCTGGCCCTCCAGGTAGGGGACCCAGTTGGACTGGAAGCCCTGCTGCCCAAGGCCGCCCAGACCGAAGGCGAGAATGATGAGCCAGAAGGAGGTGGTCTTGAGGGCCTGCCGGCCCGTCAGGCTCACCTCGTTGGCGCGGCTGGGCCGAGCGCCCGCTACGCCGGCGGGCACGGGGTCCGGGGACTCCTTGTCGCCGTCGGGGAGCAGGCCGATGTCCTCGGGGTTGGTCCGCACCAGGAGGGACAGGGGGATGAGCACGACCAGCGAGATGGCGCCGAGCATGAACCAGGCGTCCCGCCAGCCCACCAGGGAGATGAGGGCGATGATCGAGATGGGGAAGAAGAGGGGCCCCATCGCGCCGCCGGTGGAGGCGATGCCGAGGGCGATCCCGCGGCGGCGGATGAACCACTTGGGCAGGATGGTCTGTGTCAGCATGCCGCCCGCGCCAAGGGAGCCCGCAGCGCCCACCACGCCGAAGAAGAGGTAGAACTGCCACAGGCTTTCCACATATTTCAGGGACATCAGGGATACGCCCAGGATGATTGCCCCAACCAACATGAGCACGCGCGGGCCGTTGCGGGTGTCGCGCCAGGGCCCCACGATGGGCGAGAGCAACCCTGTGAGGCCCGTTCGGATGGTCAGCGCGAGGAAGAGCGCCGACCGGGACCAGCCGAGCTCTTCCTCCATGGAAAACGCAAAGACGCCGATGCCCCACATGCCAAGGCCGGCGTTGAACGCGGAGCTCACCAGGGCAATCCCCACAAGCGCCAGCCGTAGAAGATGCTCGGCACGGCCCTCATCGCAACACACCGTCAGGAGGCTGCGGGGGCGCGGTCTCGCGCTGCAACTGCTCTCGGGGCGGCTTTGGCCAGCATGATCACAGCCGCAGTGGAGGCGTAGCCGATCATGACGGCACGAAGCTCCAGAAATAGGAACCCTGGGCATCGTAGGCAAGGGCCACCACGACGGGGCCAAGGGCCGCCGTCGTGGCCTGGAAGGGCCGCATGTAGCCGGTGATGGCGCCGATGTGCATCCGGCCGAAGTAGTTGGCGACGATGAGGGGGCGCAGCAGGAAGGAGCCGCCCATGGTCAGCCCGAAGAAGACGACGAAGGCGAAGAGCATCACGGGGCCGATGACGTACAGGAGCAGCAGGACGCTGGATGCCGTAAGCAGCGACTGAATGACGATGAGGTAGCGCACCTGGAAGCGGCGGCCAGGAGGCCCCACAGAATCCGGGCGGAGACGGAAAAGACGCCGTAGACGGTAATGGCAAACGCTGCCGTGCCAGCGGCGAATCCCTTGCCCTCCAGGTAGGGGATCCAGTTGGACTGGAACCCCTGCTGGCCAAGTCCGCCCAAGGCGAAAGCGAGGATGATGAACCAGAAGGCGGGCGACCTGAGGGCCTGCCGCCCCGTCAGGCTGACCTCGCTGACGCGGCTGGGACGCGCTCGCCCGCCTGTCGAGGGGGCGCCGGGCGCGGGGTCGCGGTCGCCGTCGGGCAGGAGGCCGATGTCCTCCGGGTTGGTGCGCAACATGAAGGACAGGGGCACCAGCAGCGCAAGCGACAGGACACCCAGAATGAACCAGGCGTCACGCCAGCCGACGAGGGAGATGATGGCGAAGATGCTGATGGGGAAGAAGAGGGGGCCCATCGCGCCGCCCATGGAGGCTATGCCGAGGGCGCGGCCGCGGCGGCGGATGAACCACTTGGGCAGGATGGTCTGCGTGACGATGCCGCCGGCCCCAAGGGAGCCCACAGCGCCAAGGACGCCAAAGAAGAAGTAGAACTCCCAGATGTTGTCCACCCACCTCAGGGCGATGAGGGAACCGCCGAGGATGAGCGACCCGAAGAGCATGAGCATTCGCGGGCCGTTGGGGGTGTCGCGCCAGGGGCCGACGATGGGCGAGAGAACGCCCGTCAGCCCTGTGCGGATGGTGAGGGCAAGGAAGAAGGAGGCGCGGGACCAGCCGAGGTCCTCCTCCATGGGGCTCACGAAGACGCTGACGCCCCAGATGCCCACGCCGGTCTGGAATGCGCCGCTCACAAGGGCGATCCCTACCAGGTACCAACCGTAGAAGACCCTCGGCGTGGACGTCATCGCAGCGCGCCGCCGATACCTTTCCCCTTCGAGAGCCTCAGGGCGAACGGGATGGGCGGCGCCGTTCCTCCTATATCATCGACCTATGCCATCGACAGCCCCTCGATGACGGTGCAGTTGGGGATCCTGGTCAGCTCGGCGGGGGCGAGCCGCACCTTCGCGGTGCGGGAGCCCGCTCCGACGATGAGGTAGGGCTGGTCCATCATGGCGGCGTCGACGTAGAGCTGCATGTCTTTGGGCAGGCCGAAGACGGTGACGCCGCCAATCTCCATGCCCGTGAGGTCCTTGGTCTCGCCGGCGGTGGCGAAGGAGGCGCGGGACACGCCCATGAGGCGCTTCACCGTGTGGTTCACGTCGAGACGCTTCGACGACTGCACGAGGCAGGCGCAGTGGCCTTTGCACCTCGGGTGGACGCAACGATGATGGTGTTGGCGCTGGTGTCCATGGGATACCCGTACTTCTGGCAGAACTCCGTCGTGTCGGCGAAGTTAGGGTCGCAAGGGACGATCTCGTAGTCGACGCCAAGCACGGTCATCGCCGCCGCGACCATGGGGTGGACTGCCCCGTCCTGGAACTCCGTGGTCACTGTGGCCTCCTGATGCACAAACTCCCGCAACTATAACAAAAGGGGTGAACTATAGCAGTCCACCCCCTGAAATATCATTTGGTCGGGGAGCCGGGATTTGAACCCGGGACCTCTTCGTCCCGAACGAAGCGCGCTACCATGCTGCGCTACTCCCCGATGTTGACACAACCATTCAATTATAGGGCTTCCGGCGCACTCAACGCTACGGGCTGGGTGGCCGCCGGACCCATTGGGCTAGGGCTGTCGCGGTGGTGGACGGCGTCCGCGGTTGGGACGGATGTGAGGCAGCGCGTCGCCGGTGCGGGGAATGATCGTCACCTTGCGGTCGTCGCCCTCGCCCTCGCTCTGCGTCATGACTCGAGGGTGGTCCGTGAGGGCGACGTGGATGGCGCGGCGCTCGGCCGGGGACATGGGCTCGAGGGTGAAGGAGCGACCTGAGCCTGCGACGCGGTCGGCCACGCGCAATGCGAGGCCCTTGAGCACCTGTGTGCGGCGCTGGCGGTACTGCTCGACGTCCAGCATGACGCGGCCCTCGGGCTGGGTCCGGGGTACGGCTGAGCAGCAGGTTCATCATGAACTGCAAGACGCGCAGGGTCTCGCCGCGGCGGCCGATGAGGAGGCCGGAGTCGTCGCCGGTAATCTCGATGAGCTGGGTGTCGGGCGAGTCGGCTGGCGGCTTGGAGATGGTGGAAATGGCGGAGACGCCCATCGCACGCAGCAGCTGGTCCACAATCGCCTTGGCGGACTGCACGAGCCCGCCTTCCTCAAGAAGGGTCGCACGGACTCGGGCCGGCTCCGATCCGAAGCCAAAGATGCCGGCCTTACCGTGACTGAGAACCTCGATTTCGGCCTCTTCGCGTCTTACGTCGAGCTGCTTTAGCGCCAGCTCGATTGCCTCTTCGACTGTCTTGCCGTTCGCTTCCACCTTCTCCATTGCTCGATAGCTCCTCTGTCGATTGGGACGCTTCTGATGCGCCTGCCGCAGCCAATGCCGGCGCGCCCGCATCCTGCGACCGCGACAACAATGGCCCGAGGCCACCCCAACCTGTGGTTACGTATTGAATGCCGACACCCATGAGGTTGGACGTCAGCCAGTAAAGCGCCAGCCCGCTGGGAAAGCTGAAGGTCAGGAACACAAAGAGCAGGGGCATCATCCACAGCATCATCTGCTGCGTCTGCGCCTGCTTGGGGTCCTGGCTGGGGTAGGTCATCATCTTCTGCTGGACCCACATGGACGCGCCCACCAGCAGCGGCATGATGGGCAGGGTGTCCGGCACCGCGAGGTCCAGCCAGAGGAAGGTGCTGTCGACGGGCACCGCGCTGTGGACTACCGGCAGCCAGCCGTACAGCAGTTTGGACAGGTCCACGAGGTTCTCCGGGCTCGAGGGCAGCACACGGATGAGGGCCCAGTAGAGGCCGATCCATATGGGGAACTGGATGACCAGCGGCCCCAGGCAGCCGATGGGGTTCACGCCGTGTTCCTTATAGAGCTTGAAGGTCTCCGATGAGAGCTTCTGCCGGTCGCCCTTGTATTTGGCCTGCAGCTCCTTCATCTTGGGCTGCAGGGTGGACATGGCGCGGGTGGACTTGACCTGCTTGAGAGTCAGGTTCATGGTCGCCAGCCGGATGAGCACCGTGAAGACGACGATGCTCAGGCCGAAATTGCTGAAGAGGCCGATGTACAACAGCACCAGGCAGTTGGCCATTGGCCGCATCAATATCTCTCTAAACAGGTCGCCTAACAGTTCCACGTGCTGTCCTTCTACTCCTGCGTCTGGTACGTCCAGAGCTCGCGGCGCTGGCCGGTGTGGAGCGCGTGCACGACGCCCTCCGAGTCGATGAGGTAGACCACCTCACCCTGGCTGGCCATGTCGGCGCGTACCTGATCGCCGACGCCGATGGACCACTCCTCGTGGCCGTCGAGGAGGCTGAATTGATGCACAAACTTCTCCGTCGTCGCGACGACCACGGAGTTTGCGAGCACCTGGGGGGCCGCGACGATGGCGCCGCTGGCCTGCGCCGGGACCGTCCAGAGCTGGTTGCCCAGGGTGTCCAACGCGTACAGGCTCCCGCGGAGAGTCGCGGCGTAGATGACGCCGTCGTCGAACACGGGCGGGGCCCAGAACCAGCCGTCGCCCTCAAAGCGCCACTTCTCCTCGCCGTTCGCGGAGTTGAGCGCGTACAGGGTGCGGTCCAGCGCGCCGACGTATACGGTGCCGTCCATCACAAGGGGGGTGCCCACTATCGCGCCGTCGAGGGACACGCTCCACAGCTCCCTGCCGTCTGCGAGGCTGACGGCGTACACGGTGTGGCCGAGGGTGCCGAAGTACAGCGTGCCGTTGTCCACGGCTGGGCGTGACCAGATCTTGCCGTCGGCCACGAAGGCGGGCCACGTCCTGCCGGGCAGGGCCGACCCGTCCTCCGGCAGCGCGATGGCGTGGAGGCTGCCGTCGTCAGTGCCGACGATGAGCGAGTTGCCGGCCATGCGGGGCGTGACCCACGATGCGGCCGGGCAGGATGGTCGACCAATTCTGGATGCCGGTGCCGGCGTTCAATGCATAGACGTTTCCAGGGAAATCGTCATCCTCCTCCGGGTCCTGGTAGGTGGCCAGGAAGAGGCTCTCGGCCCCGGACCGGAGGCGCCTGTGTAGGCGCCGAGGACGGGCGTGCTGATAGACCGCGCCCAAGGGTCATCGTGGTGGAGGGGAAGGGGCTGTATAGCTGGACGGGGCGGCCAGCGGAGCCCTCGGCGTCTCCGGAGACGTTCAGGGCGAACACGCGGCCCTCGCCGGAGGTCACGTAGAGGGCGTCGTCATCAACGGCGAGGCCCGCCCACCCCTTGGCGTCAAACCTGTCGATCCCGCAGGCGCTCAGCGTGACGAGCATCGCGACGAGCATGAGCGGGGCCCACCAACGTCCAAGCCTCACTGACGGATGTCCTCTTCCGGGCGCACTACGGCGGCCCTCGCGTTCATCGAGTCTCAAGGTGTGTCTCTTGCCTGCCATGGGAAGGGGGCGGGACGGGGTCGTAGCCGCTGCCGCCCCAGGGGGTGCAGCGGGCGATCCGGCGCAGGGCCAGCCAGCCTCCGCGAAGCGTCCCGTGCTGCTCGATGGCTTCATAGGTATAGTCGGAGCAGGACGGCAGATAGCGGCAACGGCAACCCAACACGGGTGAAACGAGTGTCTGGTAGAACCGGACCAGCGCGAGGGTCAGACCCTTCACCTGTCCACTCCTTGCTCAACCGGCGCACCGGATACCCTGGCGCGCCGCAACAGTCCTGCTAGGTCGGCGCGAAGCCCCTCAAAGGGGGCCGCCGCAGCCGAGGGCCGCGCCACCACGACTACGTCGTAGCCGGGCCGAACGTTGGCCCCGCGAATAATCTCCCGGAGCCGTCGCTTCACACGATTGCGCACCACGGCGTTCCCGACGGCCTTGCTGACGGAGAGCCCGCATCGGTACGCGTCCGTTCCATTGTGCAGTGTTCTGATGGTTACGTGCTGGCCAGTCCACCTGCGCCCGTTCGCAAAAACGGCGTCAAAGCTGGCCTTCCTGGTGAGCCGGTGTTGCCGCGGCAGCATCGTCGTCGTGGCGCATAGCGCGACCGGGCGGCGACCGGGGCCTACGCCGTCAGGTGCACGCGACCCTTGAGCCGGCGGCGCTTCAGCACCAGCCGTCCCTCTCGCGTGCGCATACGCACCCTGAAACCGTGGGTGTTCTTGCGGTACCGGGTCTTGGGTTGGAATGTTCGCTTTGGCATTGTTCACCGCACCTGCCTCCACGCCGCCACTGTGCACGTACGGGAGGCATCACTCATTTGCATCTAGCGGAGAGAGTATAGCATCCATTGTACGAAGCGTCACTACGGGAGGTGAGGGGCGGCCTCACGCGCGTCACTAGCGGCGCACAACACCGCGCACTACCGCCTTCGAGGGAAAGCCGGCGGCGAGCGGGGAGCTACCGCCCGAGCGAGAGGACGGCGAGGGCGACGGCGATCCAGAGGACGGCGGCGGCCTGCAGGGGCCTGTCGCTGAGGAACATCTCCTCCGGCGTCTCTCCGGCAGAGCCGTCCTTGTAGAGCAGGCGCAGGTAGCGGTAGAGGCCAAAGGCGGCGATGGGCACGGTGAGGGCCATCGCCATGTTGTCCGGCAGGCCGGATGCCGTCAGCGTGTAGGCGACATAGGCCGCGAGGACGCCCGCCGCGCTCACGCCGATGAGGGCGTCGAGGGCGCGGAGGCTGTAGGCTCCGAGGACGGCGCGCTGCTGCTCGGCCCCGCCGTCTGCGGCGGTCACCAACTCAACGCGTCGCTTGCCCAGGACGACCATCATCGCGCCCAGGCCCGTCACGGCGTACAGCCACGGCGAGATGGGCACGTCGATGACGACGGCCCCGGCCACGGCGCGAAGCACGTAGACGCTGCTCAGCGCAAGGACGTCGACCAGCGGCACCTTCTTCAGCAGCGCGGAGTAGGCGAGCGTCAGCGCGAGGTATGCCAGCACGGCGACGCCGAACAGCGGCTGCAGCAGGAACGACAGGCCAATCCCGACGGCGAACATGATCGCCGCCGCCACCGAGGCCGCTCGGGCGGACAGCAGACCGGCCGCGATGGGACGGTGGCGTTTGCGCGGGTGCAGCCGGTCGCGCGGGGCGTCGAGGAGGTCGTTGACCAGGTAGGTGGCGCTGGAGACGAGGCAGAAGAGGAGGAAGGCGGCGGTCGCGATGGCGAAGAGGTCCAGCCCCTCCCGCCATTGCGCGAACTCCCAGCGCTGGTTGATGGAGAAGGCCAGGGCGAAGTAGACAATCCCGTTCTTGGCCCACTGTCGGGGCCGCATGGCCCGCAGCAAGCTGCCCAACGGGGCAGTCCCCCCTTTGATATGCTGCGCCATGTGCCGCATCATAGGAAGTAGAGCGGGGCATCGTCAACGGCGGGGAGGGCCTAGCTCGTCATTCACGCGGGCCCTCAGTGCATCGTGGCTTCGCGCCGAGGGTCTCTCAGTGGCTTCTTCAGTCCGAATGCCCAACGCCAAGCGGCAACGTACAGCTCGTCTGGAGGGGCGAATGCGGTCGATCAGCGCGGCGACGGTGGCTGCATGGGTGGCCCACGCGTTGGCCTGGGCGGCGGGGCTCTGGCTGCCTTCTGGCCCGTGTATCAGGGCGAGTCCGCAACCGCAACTGCGCCGGGAGAGCCCCTCGGCGAAACCGTCCGGTTCACGTCGACGCTGATCGAGCAGAACGGCCTGTGGGTAGTCTCGCTGCTGCTGGCGCCCATCGTGCTGACGGCCGTCGCGTTGCTGGCGCTGCGGCTGACCAACGACGGCAGGTGGTACGCAGGGTGCTGCTCTGGGGTCCGGCGGCGCTGCTTCTTGGGTTCTGTATCCTGGGCATATTGTCCATCGGCTTCCTCTACCTGCCGGCGGCGCTGGCGCTGCTCGTGACGGCCTTTCTCGACCTGGGTGGCCGGGATGCTCGACCTGAGCGACCTAGCGTAGCGACGCTGTTGGGCATGGACCCGTTTGGTGGTAGCCTGCCTGGAGGCGAGCCGTCGCCCGGATTCCGGCATTCTCCGGAATGGCGAAAGGGAGCTGCGCGAAACACGCCCTGGGCGAGGGCCGAGGAAGGGGCCGGATGGCCAAGCGCACACGTATCGACGTGCTGATGGTGGAGCGGGGGCTGGCGCCCACGCGAGAGAAGGCGCAGGCCCTGCTCATGGCGGGCAGCGTCACCGTCGACGGGCGGGCCGTCAGCAAGCCGGGCACGGCCGTGGCGGCGGAGGCGGGCGTCGACGTGCGGGCGCCGCTGCAGTACGTTGGCCGCGGCGGCGACAAGATGGCGGGCGCGCTCGACGCCCTTCGGGGCTCGACCCGGCGGGGGCCGTCGTGCTGGACGTCGGGGCGTCGACGGGCGGGTTCACGGACTGCCTGCTGCAGCGTGGGGCCGCGCGCGGTCTATGACATCGACGTCGGGCGGGGGCAACTGGCGCACAAGCTGCTGATCGACCCGCGCGTCGATTCGTACGAAGGGGTGAACGCGCGGCACGACTTCCCGCTGCCGGAGCCGGTGGACATGGCCGTCGCGGACGTCTCCTTCATCTCGCTGCGGCTGGTGCTTCCGCAGATGGCGGCCCACCTGCGCCCCGGCGGTCGGATGCTGGTGCTGGTGAAGCCGCAGTTCGAGGCGGAGCGCGGCGCCGTGGGTCGCGGCGGCATCGTTCGCGACGGCAAGACGCACGCGACGGTGTTGGGCGACTTCGTGCAGTGGGCCATCGGGCAAGGGCACCGGCTGCGCGGGGTGACGCCCTCGCCCATCACCGGGACCGAGGGCAACCGGGAGTTTTTTGTTCTGCTGGAGGCCGGTGAGAGTCCGGCGGAGGCGGACGCGGACTAGCTGCGCGATACTGGGGGAGAACCGCAAAGGAGGACACGATGGCTGACGACAAGATCATCCTGACCGGCATGCTGTTCTACGGCCACCACGGGGTGACGGACGAGGAGCAGCGGCTGGGGCAGCGCTTCCTGGTCGACGTGGAGCTGGAGACGGACACGCGAGCGGCCGGGCAGCGCGACGACATCACGCAGGCGGTGAACTACGCCGCCGTGTACCTATCAACCAAGGAAGTGGTGGAAGGGGAATCACGGCGGCTGATAGAGGCCGTCGCGGAGGGGATCGCGTCGCGCATCCTGGAGGAGCAACCGGTGCGCGGCGCTCGTGTGCGGGTCACCAAGCCCTCGCCGCCCATCCCCGGTGCGGTACTGAGCGGGGCCGCGGTCGAGATATACCGGCGGGGTGAGGTCGTCGGAAAACCCCAGAAAGAGACCCTTGACGGCGAGAAAACGACTGCGGTATAGTTGATTCAATCTTCCAAAGGACAGGGAATGCAGGGCAGCGCATAACACGCAACCCAAGGCGGACTCCTCAGGCGGCGGCCGGGGAACCCCCCGAGCGCCGTCTTTGTGTCTCAACCCTGGACCACCGGAAGACCGCACGTTACCAACTGAAGAACAAGCAAATGTAGTGCAAGTAAAGGGAGCAGCATCGAGCCTTGTAGTGGGGAAGGTGCGAAGGGCTCACGGAGGATGCCTAGGCGCTTAGAGCCGATGAAGGGCGTGGCCAGACAACGATATGCCCGGGTGAGTGGTCAAGCACGCTAAACCCGGGATGCCCGAATGGGGAAACCCGGCAGGGTGTTTAAGCCCTGTCATCTCTGGGGATTGGGCCCAGAGAGGGGAACCGGGGGAACTGAAACATCTCAGTACCCTGAGGAAGAGAAAGCAACCGCGATACCCCAAGTAGCGGCGAGCGAACGGGGTTCAGCCCAAACCGCATGGACCTAACGGCCTGAGAGCTTATGTCTGTGCGGGGTTGAGGGGCACTCTAGGGACGGTCTCAGCTGTCCCAGGGCGCAGGGGTTCAGTCAGCCGAAAGACCCTGGAATGGGCTGCCATAGACGGTGAAAGCCCGGTAGGTGAAGGCTGGACCCCGGCCCAGAGTGTTCCCGAGTACCGCGGGACACGAGGAATCCCGCGGGAAGCTGGGGGGACCACCCTCCAAGGCTAAATACTCTAAGCGACCGATAGTGAACCAGTACCGTGAGGGAAAGGTGAAAAGCACCCCGGAAGGGGAGTGTAAAGACCTGAAACCGTGAGCCTACAGACAGTCAGAGCCCTTCTTCGGAAGGGTGATGGCGTGCTTATTGAAGAATGATCCGGGGAGTTTTTAGGAGCGGCAAGGTTAAGAGAACGCAATCTCGGAGCCGTAGGGAAACCGAGTCTGAATAGGGCGTAGAGTCGCTTTTAAAAGACCCGAAACCGAGCGACCTACCCTTGGCCAGGGTGAAGGTTCACTAACCTGAACTGGAAGCCCGAACCCGTGATCGGGGCAAAGATCTGGGATGAGCTGAGGGTAGCGGTGAAATGCCAATCGAGCTCGGAGATAGCTGGTTCTCCCCGAAATGCCTTTAGGGGCAGCCTCGCGATTAGGCTGCCGGAGGTAGGGCTCTGGATGGGTAAGGGGGCGCGAGCTTACCGACCCCAACCAAACCCCCAATGCCGGTAGACCATGCGCGGGAGTGAGACGGTGAAGGATAAGCTCCATCGTCGAGAGGGCAACAGCCCAGACCGCCGGCTAAGGCCCCAAAGTGTGGACTAAGTGTGCAAGGATGTGGAGTTCCCCAGACAGCCGGGAGGTTGGCTTAGAAGCAGCCATCCTTCAAAGAGTGCGTAATAGCTCACCGGTCGAGGGGTTCTGCGCCGACAATGTCACGGGGCTAAGTCCACCGCCGAAGCCGCGGACTCGGTCATTTATGACCGAGTGGTAGGGGAGCGTCCCCGTCAGCGCTGAAGCTCAGACGGCAAGTCTGGGTGGAGCGGCGGGGAGTGAGAATCCCGGAATGAGTAGCGCCAACCCTGGTGAAAACCCAGGCGCCGAAAGCCCAAGGTTTCCTACGGAACGTCAGACGGCGTAGGGTAAGTCGGGACCTAAGCCACAGCCGCAAGGCGAAGGCGATGGACAGCTGGTCAACATTCCAGCACCGCCCAGACTGCGTTGATCTACGGGGGGACGGGGAAGGATAGGGAGAGCGCCCCCATCGGACATGGGGCGTGGGCCCGTGTAGGTCTATGACCGCCGGAGGCAAATCCCCGGCGCGAGACGGAGGCGGAGCCCAAATGTCTGGCTACGGCCAGGCAAATTCTTCTGATTCCAGGCCTCCAAGAAAAGCCTCGTAAGGAGTTGTCTGGGCGCCCGTACCGCAAACCGCCACAGGTGGGCTGGGGTAAGCACCCCAAGGCGTCCGAGCGAACCTCCGCTAAGGAACTCGGCAAAAGAGCCCCGTAACTTTGGGATAAGGGGCGCCCGCAGGCGTGTAGAGACTTGCTCTCGAAGCGTCGGTGGGCCGCAGCGTAGCGTCTCTGGCGACTGTTTACCAAAAACCTAGGTCTCTGCTAAGGGGAAACCCTACGTATAGAGACTGACGCCTGCCCAGTGCCGGAAGGTTTAAAGGGAGGGGTGAGAGCTCCGAACTGAAGCCCCGGTGAACGGCGGCCGTAACTCTAACGGTCCTAAGGTAGCGAAATCCCTTGTCGGGTAAGTTCCGACCCGCATGAATGGCGGAACGACTGGAGAGCTGTCTCAGCGGAGGGCTCGGTGAAATTGCAAGGCCTGTGAAGATGCGGGCGACCCGCGGCGGGACAAAAAGACCCCGTGGAGCTTTACTGCACCCTGGCACCGGACTGGGGTCCGGGATGTGTAGGATAGGTGGGAGGCGATGAACGTTCCGCGCCAGCGGGGCGGGAGCCACTGGTGAAATACCACCCTTCCCTGATTTTGGCCCTCACCGCGCAAACAGAGCGCGGGACGCTGCCAGGCGGGCAGTTTGACTGGGGCGGTCGCCTCCTAAAGAGTAACGGAGGCGCCCCAAGGTCCCCTCAGGACGGATGGAAATCGTCCGGCGCGTGCATTGGCAGAAGGGGGCTTGACTGTGAGGCCTACAAGCCGAGCAGGGACGAAAGTCGGGCAAAGTGATCCTACGGCACCGTGTGGACGGGCCGTGGCTTATCGGATAAAAGCTACCCCGGGGATAACAGGCTGATCTTGCCCAAGAGTTCCTATCGACGGCAAGGTTTGGCACCTCGATGTCGACTCATCCCATCCTGGGGCTGAAGAAGGTCCCAAGGGTCGGGCTGTTCGCCCGTTAAAGGGGTACGTGAGTTGGGTTCAGAACGTCGTGAGACAGTTCGGTCTCTATCTGCCGTGGGCGTAGGAGGCTTGCGGGGACCCCTCCCTAGTACGAGAGGACCGGGAGGGACGGCCCTCTGGTGTGCCGGTGGTCCTGCCAAGGGCGCAGCCGGGTAGCCAAGGCCGGCCAGGAGAAGCGCTGAAAGCATCTAAGCGCGAAACCTCCCCCAAGACTAGGCCTCCCATTCCAATTCGGAAGTAAGGCCGCAGGTAGACCACCTGCTTAGAGGACGGAGGTGCAAGGCAGGTAACTGCTTTAGCTGACCGTTCCTCATCGGCCGAGGCCTTCCCCACTCCAAGGCCCGATGCTTCTCCTTCACTTCACTAACGCTTGTTCTTCTTACCGTCCCGCCCTCCCGGCGGGACGTCGCGTGCAGTACGTGAAGTATTCCCCGGGTGACTAGAGCGAGGTGGAACCACCCGTTCCCATTCCGAACACGGAAGTGAAACGCCTCAGCGCCAACGATACTGCCCTCGGGAGGGGGTGGGAAAATCGGCCGTTGCCCGGGGGCTTCTTTTTTGTGCCCAACCCTCACTCCACTAGTCCGACCCCCTTGTCGACTTCTCCCTTTGATCCTGGAACGGGCGCCTTTTCTGATTTGCCCTTACCCTCGCACACTCACGATGCCGAACACCCGACCGACACGCCGCTGGCGAAATACCGGGAGGCAGAGCCGATGCAGCAGCATTTCGAGACGAAGCAGGTCGAGTCACAGCACATCCTGACCATCCGTGTTACGACCCCGGTCGACAAACTCTCCGAACTCCTGGGCGAGCTCTTCGGCGAGGTCTACGCACACATCATGCAGCACGGCCAGCAACCCGCCGGCATGCCCTTCTCCTTGTACCACGCGATGGACGGCGACACGGTCGATTTCGAGGCCGGGATCCCCGTGGCCTCGCCGATCGAGGGCGCGGGCCGCATTCGGGCGGGTGAGCTCCCCTCCGGCACCGTCGCCGCGGTCACCCACATGGGACCCTACGAGGCCCTGGGGCAGACGTGGGTCGCGCTGATGGAGTGGATTGGATCGCAGGGTCTCCAACCCACAGGCCCGCCCTGGGAGGTCTACGTCACCGACCCCAGCGCCGACCCCGACCAATCGAAGTGGCGCACCGACATCTTCTTCCCCGTGCTCTGATTGGCCTGTAAAGTGCGCGCCCGCCCACCGACGCGGTCCGCCCACGACCGGCTCTGCAGGCACCTTGGCCCTTTCTCCCCCCAACCCTACGGGTTCCCATTCTTGCGGGAACGCAACAGCGGAAATGCGCGTTTCAACCAACAGAGGACGAACACTATGCCGAACGACGCAGCAAGACCGAAGTTCAAGCGCTTGGAGAGGCCGTTTGACCTTTACAGCGCCTATTGCGAAAGCTACAATGGTTGCGTCTCATACTCGAGCAGCGGCAGGTATTGACCGTGGTCTCGTCTCCACATGAACAGACCCCAGAAACCATGACTATGGGTGAGCTCTTGGAGTTGGAGGGTGGTTGGAAAGACCTCCGACGTGGAGAGGTAGTTGAGGGCGTGGTCATGCGCGTTGATCAGGAAGGCATTCTGGTCAACGTGGGCGGCAAATCCGAAGGCATCATCCCCTCACGTGAAGCGCGAAGTCTCACGCCGGACGCGATGGCAGCCCTCCAGATAGGTACGTCAGTGGTCGCCTATGTCCTCCGCACCGAGGGGGATGAGGGCACCGCCCTTCTTTCACTCGACCGGGCCAGAAGCGAGCAGGGCTGGGTGATCCTCGACAAGGCCATGGAGTCCGGTGATCTGGTGGAAGGCATCATAATCGAGCACAACCGCGGTGGAGCCGTGGTGCTGGTGGAGGGTGTGCAAGCATTCGTCCCCCTCTCGCACCTGCTGCCCGCCTCGAGAGACCAGCGCCAGCAGGCAGAGGCAGGCGGCCCGGCGACGGCAGCCCTGCCCCAGCAGTACAAGGTGCTGGAGGTGGACCGTCGGCGCAGGCGCGCGATCCTCTCCGAGCGGCTCGCATGGCAGAGCGCTCGAGACGCGCAGAAGGCGCGGCTGTTGCAGGAACTGGTGGAGGGAGAAACCCGCTCGGGCAAGGTCAGCGGCATCTCCAAGTTCGGCGTCTTCGTCGACTTGGGCGGCGCCGACGGGCTCATCCACACCTCGGAGCTCTCCTGGCAGCCAGTGACAGACGCGGAACAGATCGTTAAAGTTGGGGAAGAGATCAGCGTCCTGGTGCTGAAGGTGGACCAGGAGCGGCAACGCATCTCGCTGAGCCTTCGCCGGCTCAATCCTGAACCCTGGGACTGGGTGACCGAGAACTTTCAGCCTGGCCAGATCGTTAATGGGACAATAACACGGTTGACAAGCTTCGGCGCATTTGCTCAGATTGAAGAGGGCATCGAAGGCCTCATCCACATTTCGGAGCTCAGCACTAGGCACATCGAACATCCCAAAGAGGCAGTGCACGAAGGAGAGGTCCTGGAGCTCAAGGTTCTGAGCGTGGATCCGGAACGGCACCGCTTGGCACTCAGCAGAAGGCGAGCGCTCGAGGAGTACTAAGCTTCGAGGGAGCGTGTTCGCCCTTTTACAGTTTGCAGGGGGACCAGCCCAGGCAATACCGGTTTGGGGGTACGCCATGGCTAGCAGGTTTGAGAAGTTCTCGGAACGGGCCCGCAGGGTTCTCTCTCTGTCTCAGGAAGAGGCGCTCCGCTTCAACCACAACTATATCGGCACGGAGCATATCCTCTTGGGTCTGGTGCGAGAGACGGAGGGCGTCGCCGCCCGAGTCCTTAGCAATCTTGGGATTGAGCTCAGCAAGGTGCGCTCCGCCGTGGAGTTCATCATCGGCCGCGGCGAGAAGCCGGTATCCGGTGAGAACATCGGCCTCACCCCAGGGCAAAGCGCGTCATAGAGTTGGCCGTCGACGAAGCCCGTCGCATGAGCCACCACTACATCGGGCACGGAGCACCTGCTCATCGGCCTCATGCGCGAGGGCGAGGGCGTGGCTGCGGGCGTTCTCGAAAGCTCTGGCGTCACGCTGGACAAGGTCCGTGCGGAGACGCAGCGGCTGCTCAGCCAGAGCATTTCTCCTGGCCAGCAACAGGGCCGCGGCGGCGCTGCCACCACGACTCGCACCCCCATCCTCGACCAATTGGGCGTCGACCTGACGGCCCTGTCCCGCAACAACAAGCTGGACCCGGTTTGGGGCCGCCAGAAGGAATTGCAGCGGGCCGTCCAGATCCTCTCCCGCCGGACCAAGAACCACCCCGTGCTCATGGGCGAGCCCGGCGTCGGCAAGACCGCCATCGTGGAGGCGCTTGCCCAGAAGATCATCGCCAATGACGTGCCGGAAACGCTGAACGGCAAGCGGCTCGTCACCCTGGACATGGGCGCTCTGGTCGCTGGCACCAAGTACCGCGGCGAGTTCGAGGAGCGCCTGAAGAAGGTGCTGGAAGAGATCAAGACCGCCGGCAACTGCATCCTCTTCATCGACGAGATGCACACCCTCGTGGGCGCGGGCGCGGCCGAAGGCGCCGTGGACGCCGCCAACATCCTGAAGCCGTCGCTGGCCCGTGGCGAGATTCGCGTCATCGGCGCCACCACCCTGGACGACTACCGCAAGTACGTGGAGCGCGACCCGGCGCTGGAGCGCCGCTTCCAGCCCGTGCTGGTGGAGGAGCCGTCCGAGGAAGACACGACGCAGATCCTGCGTCACGTGAAGAGTCGTTACGAGGAACACCACAACCTGATCATCACCGACGAGGCGCTTGTCGCCGCGTCGAGGCTCGCGGCCCGCTTCATCCCGGACCGCTTCCTGCCCGACAAGGCCATCGACCTCATCGACGAGGCCGCTTCCCGCGTGCGCATCCGCCACAGCACTATGCCGCTCTCCGTCAAGGAAGCGATGAAGGTGCTGGAGAACGTCCGCAGCGAGAAGGAAGAGGCCCTGTCCGACCAACAGTACGAGTTCGCCGCAGAGCTCCGCGAGCGCGAGCTCAACCTCGCCGGCAAGGTGGAGAGCCTGGAGGGCGAGTGGCAGGAGACCAAGGAAAACGAGCACCCCAGCGTCACGCCGGACGACATCGCTGAGGTCGTGGGCATGTGGACGGGCATCCCCGTCACGCGCCTGCAGACCCAGGAGACGGAGCGGCTGCTCCAAATGGAACATCACCTGCACGACCGCATCATCGGCCAGGATGAGGCCATTGTGGCCGTCTCCAAGGCCGTGCGGCGCGCCCGCTCCGGCCTCAAGGACCCGCGCCGCCCCGTGGGCGTCTTCACCTTCCTCGGTCCCACAGGTGTGGGTAAGACCGAGTTGGCACGGGCGCTCTCCGAGTTTCCTCTTTGGCTCCGACGACTCGTTGACCCGCCTGGACATGTCGGAGTTCATGGAGCGCCACACCGTCGCCCGGCTCGTCGGCGCACCTCCCGGATACATCGGCTACGACGACGGCGGCCAGCTGACGGAGGCTATCCGCCGCAAGCCTCACTCGGTCATCCTGCTGGACGAGATCGAGAAGGCCCACCCGGACGTCTACAACATCCTTCTGCAGATCTTCGACGACGGCCACCTGACCGACGCCAAGGGCCGCAAGGTGGACTTCCGCAACGCGGTCATCATCATGACCAGCAACCTGGGGTCCGACCTGATCAGGCGCGACACCCGCTTGGGCTTCGCGTCCAAGCTGAATGACGGACGCGCCTTTGAGCAGGACTACGAGCGTATGAAGGGACAAGGTCATGGAAGAGGTGAAGCGGTTCTTCCGGCCGGAGTTCCTGAACCGCATCGATGCCTCTGTGGTGTTCCACGCCCTGGAGCAGGAGCACATCATTCAGATTGTCGACCTCATGATCAAGCAGGTCCGCGGCGAGGTGAAGGACCAGGAGATGGATCTCGAGGTCACGCGGGCCGCCAAGGCGAAGCTGGCTGAGGACGGCTACGACCCGCACCTGGGCGCCCGGCCGCTGCGCCGTGTGATCCAGAGCAAGGTGGAGGACAAGCTCTCCGAAGAGATCCTCTCCGGCAAGTTCGTGCCCGGCGACAACATCCTCCTGGATCTGGACGAGAACGGCGAGATTGTGACGCACCTCAGCCTTGAGGCCGCAGAACCGACGGAGCCGGTGGAGCCAGCGCCCGCCACCTAGCAGCCAACAGCGCGAACAGAGAAGGGGCCGGACTGGCAGCAGTCCGGCCCCTTCTTTTTGGCGCCGCCGGCAAGTCTTGAGGGGAAATTTGGTTGCGCCTTTCCCCTGCTCATTGCAAGCGGTAGAATAAATTTCCAGATGGTTTGCAGCGGAAGTATGCTAAGCTAGCAAAGTGTGCTTCTTGGGCTGAAATGGAAGGTGTCCCAATGACCACGTTTGACCTGCAAAGGTTCTTTGATGGCGAGGCGGACCACGAGCGTCGCCGCAACCTCATTGATGACAAATGTCCTGAATACCTCGAAAAGTACCCCCGTCAGTGGCTCGCCTTGGCGGTAGGCGACGTGTGGGTATTGGCCGAGTCTCTAGGAAGCCTTGGTGGAAACGCTGGACGCACAAGGACTGCCCAGGGAAGACGTCATTATCCGCTACTTGAATCCCGACCCTGTGACATTGGTCCTTTAGGCGATGCCCTCCGGCTGGTTTCAAAAGGCTTGGCCCCTTGCCGGACACCCTTTCCTCAGGGGAGTAGTCTATTTTCCCCGCTTGCGGGCAGTCCACAGCGTCGATTTTCTTGTGGACACTGGCTCCGCGGTAACTACCCTACACCCATCAGACTCGCTGTCCATGGGACTGGACTTTAGCAGGCTGGTTGAAGGCAGGGTAGTCACGGGAATCGGTGGGGACCAGGCCGAATATACTGAGCCAGCGGAGATTTCGTTCTTTCACGGCGCGCAAGTGGTGACCTACAAAATGCCTATCGATGTTGCCCCTGTGACGCAGTACAACATAGGGCTTCCTTCTTTGTTGGGCATGGACATCATCCAGCACTGGCGCATGGTGTGCGACCTTCACAGCGGGGAGTTGGAGTTTGACGTGCATCAAGCAGACGAAGTCCGCGAGATGAACACGCCCTAGCGAGCCGCTAGCTACCGGCGTTGCCCCTGACCTAGCCTCACCGCGACCGTCGTCGGTGCCGTTCCGCGCGAGGGCGCCGCGTGTCCGGCACGGGGCCCAGCGGTTCGGGCCGCCCAAAGCGTCCGAACTTCCCCTTCCACACCAGCAGCGGCAATATAACGAGCACCACGGCCACAGACACCGCCTGCGCCTCGCTCATGCCGAATAGCCACGTCTCGTAGTCGTGGAAGATGAGCACGAAGATGCGCCCGAAGGCGTAGAGCCCCAGCGACGCCGCAAACACCATGCCGTCGGGCCGCAGGATCTTCGGGAGCACCCAGATCGCCAGCGCGACCACGGCGAGGTCCAGCATCATCTCGTACACGACGGCCGGGTGGGTTGGCCCAATCCCGAAGGACAGGCTGGCCGGGTTCGTCCACTCGAAGCCCCAGGGCAGCGAGGTGCGGTGCGCCAGGTGCTCGCCGTTGATGACGTCGCCGATCCGGCCGATGGCCATGGCGAGCAGGAGCCAGGGGGCGGTACGTCAGCGAGTCGGCCTCGGACGATGCCCGCCATGGAGGCGTAGATCCACGCGCCGGCCAGGCCGCCCAGCACACCGCCCCATACGGCGATGCCGCCCGTCCAGATGGCGAAGATGTCGAGCGGGTTCGCGGTGTAGTAGTCGAGCTTGTCGACGATGTGGAGCAGCCGCGCGCCGATGACGCCGCCGATGATGCCCCACACGGCCACGGAGTACACGTCGTCCGCGAGATGCCGTGCCGCGGCGCGTACTTGGCAGTCAGCCATATGGCGACGCCCACCGCGATGACGCTGAACAGCCCGTGCCAGCTGAGGATGATCCCGCCGCGCTCAATGATGTTGGGGTCTATGCCAATTTCAATCATGCACGCTGGCCTAGACCCGGATGCCCATCTTGAGCGCTACGTCGAACGAGGAAACGATGTGGCGGTTCAGCCCCAGCGTGGGCGCATCCATCCCCAGCGCCGCGCCGATGAGCTGCGGCAGGTGCAGGATGGGCACGTTGATCTGGCGCCCCACCTGCCTGGCCGCCTTGGACTGGAAGCCGTCCAAGTTCAGATGGCACAGCGGGCAGGGCGTGACCATGGCGTCGGCGCCCAGGTCCTGCGCCTCGGCCGTGTGCTTGGCGACCATCGCCAGCGAGTTGCGCTCGTTGATGGTGAGGATGGGGAAGCCGCAGCACGCGCGTCTTGCCCTCGTTGTCGACGGCCGTCGCGCCGAGCGCCTCGATGACGAGCTCCAGCGCCACCTTGCGCTGCGGGTGCTCGTCGTACTCCAGCGCCGCCGAGGGCCGCACGATGTAGCAGCCGTAGAAGGGCGCCAGGAAGACGCCGTCCAGCGACCGTACGGCCAGCGACTTGATGTGCTCCAGCCCGATGTCCTCAACCATGACCCAGAGCATGTGCTTGATCTGGATGCCGCCCGTGTACTCCAGCCCCTCTTCCGCCAGCAGCGCGTTGATCTGGGCGCGGTACTCTTCGTTCTCCAGCTTCACCTTGGCCTGCGCCATCACGCCCTGGCAGGTGCTGCAGATCGTCATGATGGGCAGCCCCGTCTGCTGCGCGAGGGCGAAGTTGCGGGCGTTCAGCGTGTCGCCGAGCAGCGGGTTGCTCTCCTGCAGCGCGCCGGAGCCCGTGCAGGACCAGCCCTCTATCTCCTCCAACTCAATGCCGATGCGCCCCGCAACGGCAATCGTGGACTGGTACAGCTCTGGAGCGCCCCCGCGAGAGACGCACCCGGGAAAGAAAGCGTATCGCACCATGACCTCCTTGGGATTGTGGAGTGCGCCTATTCGGCCTCGCCCTTGCCAAACGCCTTGATGCGAGCGGCCAGGCGGCTGACCTGATTCACGCCCGGCGCCGCCTTCGTAATGGGCGGCGGCATCTTGCGGCGGACCATTGCATTGAAGGCCACGGGCACCATGCCGATCAGCTTGGGGAGGTTGAACATCCCCAACGTCTTCAGCACCAGCTGCGTCTCCTCCAGCCGGCCGCGATGGGACACGATCTCCTCGAAGGCGACCGAGTGGCGGTAGCCGTAGGTGGCGCCGTCGTACTTGCCCGGCGGGGACGCCCGATTCGATGGCCTTTTCCCGCAGCGACATGATGCGGTCCATCGGCGCGACGCCCTTGGGGCAGACCTCCACGCACTCGCCGCACCGGGTGCAGTCCCAGATGCCGCCGTACGCGTTGTACATGCTCAGCCGCTTCGTGTCCTCCTCGTCGCGACTGTCCGCGACGAAGCGGTACGCCTTGGCGAGGGCCGCCGGGCCCAGGAAGTTCGGGTCGACCTCCAGCACCGTGCAGTCCGACACGCACGCCCCGCACATGATGCAGCCCATCACGTCGACGAGGTGCCGCATGACTTCGTTGGACGCCAGGTACTCTGCCTCCGGCTCCGGCATGGAGGGCTGCAGGTAGGGCTCGACGGCGCGGAGCTTGTTCCAGAATGGCTCCATGTCCACGACCAGGTCCTTGATGACGGGCAGGTTGCCCGCCGGCTCCACGCGCACTTCGCCGTCTTCCGAGAGGTGCTGCGACACGCGCGTCTTGCACGCCAGCACGGCGTGGCCGTTCACCCGCATCGCGCAGGAGGCCGCAGATGGAAGCGCGGCAGGAGCACCGCATCGCCAGCGAGCCGTCTATCTCCTCACGCACCTTGATCAGCGTGTCGAGCACGGTGAAGTGGTCCTCCACCTCAACGTCGAACTGCTGGTCGTAGGACTTGGGCTGCTCCTCATCCGGGTTGAAGCGCCGGACGCTGACCTTTGCCTGCATTAGTACTTCCTCTCCTCCGGCTGCCACTGTGTGATCACGATCGGCACGTATTCCTTTGTGACCTCATTGCCGGGCCCCTGGTACAGCAGGATGTGCTTCATCCAGTTCTCGTCGTCGCGCGCCGCGTAGTCCAGCCGGCTGTGCGCCCCGCGGCTCTCCTTGCGATCGATCGCCCCCACCGCGATGGCCTCCGCGCAGTCGAGCATGCACCCGAGCTCCAGCGCGAAGATCAGGTTGGTGTTGAAGGCCTTGCCCTTGTCCTGGACCACCACGTTCTTGAAGCGGTCCTTCATGCCGCGGACCTTGTCCAGGGCCTCCTGCATGCCCTCTTCCAGGCGGTAGACGCCGAGCCCCTCGTCCATGGCCGTTGCCATGTCGAGCCGCACCCTGGCGACCAGGTCGCCGCCGCTGTTGTCGAGGAACCCCTGCATCATGGCCTTCTCGCCGCCGACCCAGGTGTCCTCCGAGAATTCGAGGTGGTTGTTGCCGCTCGCATAGGCCATCGCCGCCTCGGCGCTCCGCCGTCCGAAGATGACCGTGTCGAGCAGCGAGTTCGCGCCCAGCCGGTTGCCGCCGTGAACGCTCACGCAGGCCGTCTCGCCCGCCGCGAAGAGCCCCTCGACGCCCTTCCACTTGCCGCTCGGGTCCCAGCAGCGCCCGTCGACGTCCGTCTTGATGCCGCCCATCTGGTAGTGGACGCCCGGCCGGATCGGCACCGGGTCCTTGATGATGTCGACGCCCACCAGGTCCATCGCGACCTCGTGGATGTACATGAGCCGCTCCATGATCTTCGCCCTGCCCAGGTGGCGGCAGTCGAGCAGCACGCACCCGTCGATGTCGTTGCCCTCGTTGATCTCCGTAATCTCCGCGCGGGAGACGACGTCGCGGGACGCCAGCTCCATCATGTTGGGGGCGTAGCGCTCCATGAACCGCTCGCCGCGGCTGTTGATGAGGTACGCGCCCTCGCCGCGAGCCCCCTCGCTCAGCAGCACGCCGGAGCCCTTCAGGGTCGTCGGGTGGTACTGCACCATCTCCATGTCCATCAGCGGCGCCCCTGCGCGGTAGGCCAGCGACATGCCGTCGCCCGTGCAGATGAGCGCGTTCGTCGACGGCTCGAACACCCGCCCGAGCCCGCCCGTCGCGAGGATGGTGGCCTTCGCGCGGATCGCGTGGACCTCGCCCGTGCGCATCTCCATCGCGACGACGCCGCCGCAGCGCCCGTGGTCCGTGATGAGCGTGCCGTGGCGTACCACTCGTCGTAGACGCGAACGTTGTACTTGAGGATCTGCTCGTACATCACGTGCAGGATCGCCTGCCCCGTGATGTCGGCGACGAAGAACGTGCGGGCGCGCCGCTGTCCGCCGAAGTGCGCGCGTGCCGAGCCGCCCCTCCTCGTCGCGATTGAAGATGACGCCCATGTGCTCCAGGTTGATGAGCTCCTGCCCGGCCTCGCGGCACATGACCTCGATGGCGTCCTGATCGCCGAGGAAGTCGCTGCCCTTGACCGTGTCGTAGGCGTGCTCGTGCCAGTCGTCGCCGCGGTCGGTCAGGGCCGCGTTGATGCCGCCCTGCGCCGCGTTCGAGTGGCTTCGGACGGGATAGACCTTGGAGAGCATGGCCACATTGGCGCCGGACCGGGCAGCCTCCAGCGCCGCGCGCATACCGGCAAGACGGCGCCAAGCACCAGCACATCATGTGAATACAACGCCTAACCCCTTCGCGTCTCACAAACCCTCGCGCGCGGCCACACGGACACAGCCGGAGCAGTGGGGCCTTGCGATTCCAGCGGTAAAGCGGCCCGCCCTCGCGCTCTGGCGTGGCGCACAGGCCGAAAGCCGACAGGTTTCCCTGAGCAACGGTACTATACCAGATACGAATATGCGTGACAATTTACGCACTCCCGCACGTTGGCGGCCGTTTCCGTCCCGCCCCCTTCAAACTCCAATTCCCCGCAGAAAGCCGGCATCCAGAGGGGTCTGGGAGTGGCGTGGGAGGGCCCCGTTCCTCCTGATGGAAATCGAAAGGGTGAACGGTGCGCGATAGCGCCCACTTGCCCTCACTCTCCCCCACGTCCTCGTCATGCAGTCGAAGCCTTTATCCATAGGTGCACCGGGCGGGGCAACCCCACCAGCCACATCCCGCGAAACCCTTCGCTCCGCTAACCTCGTAGGGGCGATTCGCGAATCGCACCTTCCCGCGCCATCGGGAACCCCTCCCGCGTACTTGGCCCCGTCCCCTCTCCGCTCGTCCTTCTTTGCGTCGGCAGGAACTTAGAAGGAAGTGTCTGCGTATTCCCACCGCCTTCTCCGATGATGGTGAATTGCCTCTTCCACGGCGGCCCGTGCCAATGGCGTCGCCAAGCCTAGTCCTCAAGTGATTATGCCGAGGGTAAAAAGTATTGCAGCATGGGCGCCACGGCGTGGGGTGGATGTCGTGGAGATGCTTCCATCCCTCAGGCAGCATAGAGGGGGCTCCGGGTCTGCTCCACTGCGCGCCGGAAAATAGATTGCGGATTCCGACTCCCCACCCAGGTCCACGGGCCTGCCCAAAGAGATCCTCCAGGCCCTCGAAAGCCCAAAGTAAACGCCATCGGCGTAGGAGCCTGGGGAGATTGGGTCAAACTCGACCAGAAAGTCCAGGTCGCTGTCGTCCGTATCAAAGAGACCGGCGGCGGCGGAGCCGAACAGATCAAGCCGCCGAACACCATGCTTCCGGCATAGGTGCCGCAGAGCGTCCTCCCGCTCGGCATCTCCCCGATCATGGATAACCTTTCCTCGTCCGAAATCCGTACCTGTTCCAAGTATATACCCGTGGACATAACCCGCAAGGCCGCGGTCCGCAACCCCAACGCCCCACACCCTGACACGAGCCCCTCGCGCAACTGCCTACGCTCTCCCGCTACCCTCTCCTCTCATGGAGGTTCGCATATCTCTCACCGCAACCAGAACAGCACGGGTCCCACGTCCGTCGGCGCCGCCGCCTGAGTCGGCGGGGCGGTGGCATGGTCCGCATCGATGCTCAGAGGAGGCTCGTCAAGCAACAGGAGGGGTTGTTTTTACCTTCTGCAAAAAAGTTTTTCGATTTATAGCTGCAATGTGCCAAGCCCGCTACAGATCGAATGCCAAAACAACCTCCCGCTCTCGCCCGCCAGAACACCCCCACCGTCGTTCCCTCGCAGGCAGGAACCTCCCCTTCGGCCACACAGACGGGGACACCCTGCCACCGCCACGCCGGCGAGCAGCAGGCAACGGCGGCGGCGCAAGTAGCCACGTCGAGGTGAGGTGTAGTGGCGAGTGTGGAGAGTCTGTGGAAACAGCGGTGAGACGCCGGTGGATGTACGGGCCGGCGGAGGGTGATTCGCGCGTCGTCCCTCCCGTCAGTCGAGAAGGTAGGGGAACCCTACCCCTTCCCGTGCAGGAAGTACGCCATCTGCAGCGCGGCGATGGTCTTGGCGTCCCGCACCTCGCCGTCACGGATGAGGCGCGGGATGTCGTCCCACGGCACCGGCACAAGCTCGATGTCCTCGTCCTCGTCGGCGGGCAGCGGGTCCGGGCGAAGGTCGGTCGCAAGGTAGGTGTACATGTACTCGGTCGAGTACCCGGGGGCCATCCAGAAGTCGCCCAGATGCACCAGCGACCCGGCGGCGTGGCCCGTCTCCTCGCGGAGCTCCCGACGCGCCCCGTCCTCCGGCGCCTCGCCATCCTCCAGCATGCCCGCCGGCGCCTCGAGAAGCGGCACGGCCGCCGCCCAGCGGAACTGCCGCACCAGCAGCACGTTGCCGTCGGGGTCCACGGGCACCAGCGTCACGGCGTTCCGGGTTTCCACCACGTCCCGCACGGTCTCAACGGGCCGGTGGCCTTGTTCACGCGGATGGCGTCCCGCCGCACCCGCATGATGCGGCCGTCATACACCTGCTCGCTCCTGATCAGCTCCTCACCCGGCACGTGTCTCTCCTTCCGTCCGCGTCGCGGTCCGCTGCCGCCGCACGGAGCTCAGCCGCGTCGAGAGGGCCGCGGGCAGCCGGTGCTTGTACCCCTGCCGCAGGAACCGCATCCGGTGGGGGCTCTCCTGCACGCGGATCACGCTGCCCGGGTGGACGTCCAGGTCCAGGTACCCGTCCACGCTCACCATGGCGTCCTGGTCGGCCTCGACTTCGATCTCGACCACCGCCCCCGGGTGCAGCACGACCGCCGCGTCGTCCGAGAGCTGCGGCGCGACGGGCTGCACCATCAGCGACGTCGAGTCGGCGTAGAGGATGGGCCCCCCCGCCGCGAGGGCGTAGCCGGTGCTCCCCGTGGCCGTCGAGACGATGATGGCGTCCGCCGCGTAGTAGGCCAGCGGGTAATCGTCGACCCGCACCGCCACGTACACCATGCGAGAGGGCTTGGTGCGGCTCACCACCGCGTCGTTGAGGCCCGTGTAGCTCGGAAGGCCGTCGCCGGAGTGGCCCGGTGGCAGGATCTGCGCCTCCAGCATCGTGCGCTCCTCCACCCAGCCCTCGCCGCGCGCGTAGGAGCCGATGCGCTCCGTGGCCTCCTCGGCGGACAGCTCCGCCATGTACCCGACGCGTCCCAGGTTCACCCCCACGATGGGGATGGCCGCCGGCGCCGCAAGCCGCACGGCGCGCAGGATGGTGCCGTCGCCGCCCACCGTCACGAAGATGGAGCACTTGCGGGCCTGCTGCTCGTGCTCCTCCAGGTCCAGCACGGAGCACACCCACGGCTCAAAGTCCCCGCGAAGCTCCTTGGCGAGGGCGTCGGCCATGGGGGAGGCCTCTTCCACCCAAGGGCTGTAGATGACGCCGATGGGCCCGTCCATGTGCTCGCTCCTTGCCCCACGGCACGGCACCACTCCGTCGCTGCAGGGGGTAACTGCCGACCATTATACGGCAGCGAAGGGTTATGGGCGGGCGAACAAGGGTGTGCAGCTTGAAAGCACCCCCGTTCGCCCTGAGCCTGTCGAAGGGCCGCCAACCGACTCCCAGCTAGAAGAGCCGCTCCACCGCCCGCTCAGCGGCGCGGAAGAGGGGCTGCGGCCACAGGCCGAGCGCGACGACGGCCAGCGCAGTCACGGCCACGGAGAGGTCGAGCGGCAGGGCGCGGGCGGGCTGCTCGCCCTCGGAAGGATCGCCGAGGTACATGACCCGCACGACGCGAAGGTAGTAGTAGGCGGAGACCACGCTGTTGAGCGCGCCCACCGCCACGAGCCATGCCAGGTCGGCCTTCACCGCCGCGCCAAACACGAAGAGCTTGGCCATGAACCCGACCGTCAGCGGGATGCCCGTCAGCGACAGCAGCGCCACGGCCAGCGCGGCCGCCAGCCACGGCGCGCGCCGCCCCATGCCGCTGAAGCTCGGTATGCCCTCGCTGCCCGTGCGGTCCGCTATGGCGATGACCGCGAAGAAGGCGGCCAGGTTGGTCACGGCGTACCCTCCGAGGTAGAAGAGCACCGTCTCCGGTCCGATGGTCACGCCGTCCATAGTCCGGGACGCCACGGCCGCCAGTCCCACCAGCAGGTAGCCCGCGTGGGCGATGGTGCTGTAGGCCAGCATGCGCTTGATGTTGGTCTGCGCGATGGCCGCCAGGTTGCCGAAGGTCATCGACGCGGCGGCAATCCCCGCGAAGAGCAGCGCCCAGTCGACCTCCAGCGGCTCGAAGGCGGTGAAGAAGACCCGCATGAGCACGGCAAAGCCCGCAGCCTTGCTCGCGACCGAGAGGAAGGCCGTCACCGGCGTCGGCGCGCCCTCGTAGACGTCGGGGATCCAGCCGTGGAAGGGCACGGCGGCCACCTTGAAGCCGAAGCCCGCCACCATCAGCACGACGCCCACCACGAGCGCCTGCACGCCGAAGGGCCGCGAGCCATCCAGCGCGGCGTCGCCAACCGAGAGCGCCATCGTCTCCAGCACCGTGCTGCCGGTGTAGCCGAAGGTGAGCGCCATGCCGTACAGCAGGACGGCGGAGGCGACCGCCCCCAGAACCAGGTACTTCAGCCCCGCCTCGGAGGCCCGCTGCCCGCCGGAGAAGGCCGCCAACGCCACAAGCGGCAGCGTCGAGAGCTCCAGCGCGACGTACAGGGTGATGAGCTCGCGGCCTCCCGCCAGCAGCAGCATGCCCGACGGCGGAGAGCAGCATGCAGCCCGACGAACTCCGGTCCCCGCACCGCGAATCGCTGCGTGTAGGCGTAGGAGGCCAGCAGCACCAGTCCCGCCGAGATGGTCACCAGGCCCTTGAAGAAGAGCGCGAACCGGTCCAGTTGCAGCGCGCCGTAGAACGCCGTGACGCTGTCGCCGTCCACCGTGGAGGACAGCGACCAGCTCCCGTCGAGCTCGCCCCACAGCAGCACGGTGAACGCCAGCGCCGCGCCGACACCCGCCAGCCCCAGCGCCGTGACCACGCCGCGGTGGAGGTTGGCCATGCCGGCCACCACCACCAGCAGCGCGCCGGCCACGACAACGCACAGCTCGGGCGAGAGCACATAGAGGTCATGGCCGCTCATGGCGCAAACCTCGGCAGCAGGTCATTGATGCCCGTCGAGAAGACGTCCGAGAGCAGCGCGGGGTACACGCCCACCGCGAAAATCGCCACCATGAGCAGCGCCGGCGCGACGGCCTCCACCACCGAGACGTCCGTCAGGTGCGCCCATCGCTCGCGGGGCGGGCCAAAGAGGCTGCGCTGCAGCGTCCACAGCACGTATCCCGCGGCCATCAGCACGCCGAACGTCGCGATGCCCGTCAGGACGCCGTGGGCGGGGAACGCGCCAAGGAAGACCATGATCTCGGCGGCGAAACCGCTCGTCGCGGGCAGCCCCAGCGACGCCAGCCCCGCCACGAGGAACGCCACGGCCGCGAAGGGCATGCGCCCGCCAAGCCGCCCAGGTCCGGGATGTGCCGCGTGTGCGCCTTGTCGTACACCACGCCAACCATGACGAAGAGGAGGCCAGTGACCACGCCGTGGCTGAACAGCTGCATCGCCGCGCCCGTCAGTCCCAAAGGCGAGATGTGCTCCGACGCCGCGCCCACGGACGAGATGCCCAGCAGCACGAAGCCCCATGTGGCTGATGCTGCTGTTGGCGACGAGGCGCTTCAGGTCGGTCTGCCGGAAGGTGACGAACGCCCCGTACAGGATGCTGATCACGGCGAGCACCGCGATGGCCGTCGACGCGCTTGCAGTGACGTCGGGGAACATGGAGACGTTGACGCGGATGAGGCCGTAGCCGCCCATCTTTAGCAGCACGCCGGCCAGCATCACGCTCACCGCCGTCGGCGCGTCCGTGTGGGCGTCGGGCAGCCACGTATGCACGGGCCACACGGGCAGCTTGACCGCGAAGGCGATGAAGAAGAGGGCGAACACAAGCTGACTCGGCAGCAGCAGGTCGTTCAGGTCCATGTTGACGAGCTGCGTCATGTCGAACGTGCCCGTCGAGAAGTACACCGTCAGCAGCCCCACGAACATGAAGGCGCTGCCGGTGAAGGTGAAGAGCAGGAACTTCATGGCGGAGTGCTCTTTGCGCCCGCTTCCCCAGATGGAGATGAGGAAGAACATGGGGATGAGCTCCAGCTCCCAGAAGATGAAGAAGAGGACAAAGTCCTGCGCCATGAAGACGCCCATCACCGCCGTCTGCAGCGTCAGCAGCCACGCGAAGTACTCGCGGTGCCGCGTGCCGATGCTCCACGAGCTGTAGATGGCCGCGAGCCCCAGCAGGCCCGTCAGCAGCACCAGCGGCGCGCTCAGCCCGTCAACGGCGAGGTGGTACTGAATGTCGAGCTGCGGTATCCACGACGACAGCCGGTCCGCGAGCTGAAAGCCGCCGGCGTCGCGGTCGTAGCGGGCGAAGACGAGGATGGCCAGCAGGAAGTCGGCCACGCCCACGGCGGCGGCAAACAGGCGCACTCGCCGTGCGTTGTCCCCCAGCAGCAGGAGGACCACGGCGGCGCCGGCCAGCGGCAGGAATACCGTCGCCGTCAGCAGCATGTCGCCCGGCCCTTGGGCATCGTCATGCGCCCTCGCCTTTCTTCCAGCATGTTCCCGTCGATAGCCACGTCTCGCATCACCTCAGCAGGTACACCAGCAGGATGACGCCCGCACCAAACACAAAGAGGAAGCCGTAGACCTGCACCTGACCGGTCTGAATGGCTCCCAGCCCGCGACCAATGTTGCGGCTGAACCAGGCCACGTTGTCGGACACGCCGTCCACCACAACCCGGTCGAACCACTCCAGCGCCCCCGCGCCGACGGTGTAGAAGACCTTCCCGACCAGGAACCGCTCGTACAGGTCGTCGAGGTAGTACTTGCGCACCGTCAGCAGGTAGAGGGGCCGGAAGGTGAGCCGCTCCGGCGCGATGGCCCGCGAGCCATACACCAGCCACGCCAGCCCGACGCCCGCCAGCGCCAGCAGCGTCGACAGCACGGCCACCCACGCGATGAACGTCGGCGCCTCGCCGTGGCCGCCGGGCGGGAAGAGGAACTCGCTGAACCAGTGCGCCGACACCCCCGGCAGGCCGAAGGGCGCGTTGGCCACGAAGCCGGACACGACCGCCAGCACGCCCAGCGCCGCCATCGGCACGACCATGCTCCATGGCGACTCCCCCGCGTGGTGCGTGTCGTGCGCCGCGACCCACTCCGCCTCGTCAGCGGCGAGCGTCGTCTCCGTGTCCGGGTTGGCGGCGTCCTCGGCCTTGCGCTCCACGCCGCCGCGGTACGTCCCGTGGAAGGTGAGGAAGAGGGCGCGGAAGATGTAGAAGGCCGTCATGAAGGCTGCCGCCATCGCCAGCAGGAAGACCAGCAGGGCGACGCCGCTCCCGTCGTGGAAGGCCTCGGCCAGGATCTCGTCCTTGCTCCAGAATCCGGCGAGCGGGAAGACGCCCGCCAGGCTGAGCGCGCCCGTCAGGAAGAGCGCGTACGTCCACGGCTGCACCCGCCGCAGCCCGCCCATGAAGCGCATGTCGAAGGTCCCCGCCGCGTGGTTCACGCTGCCCGCGCCGAGGAAGAGCAGCGCCTTGAAGAAGGCGTGGTTGAAGAGGTGGAACATCGCCGCGCCGTAGGCCCCCACGCCCAGCGCCAGCATCATGTACCCCAGCTGGCTGATGGTGGAGTAGGCCACCACGCGCTTGATGTCGTTGGCGGTGATGGCCATCGTCGCCGCGAGCACCGCCGTTAGGCCGCCCGTGACGGCGACAAGGTTCATCGCCGCGTCCGATGCCTCGAAGAGCGGGAACATCCGCGCCACGAGGAAGACGCCCGCTGCGACCATCGTCGCGGCGTGGATGAGGGCGCTCACGGGCGTCGGGCCCTCCATCGCGTCGGGCAGCCACACGTGCAGCGGGAACTGCGCCGACTTGCCCACGGCCCCCGGCGAAGAAGCCGATCGCCAGCCACGTCAACGCCGTCGAGCCGAGCAACCCGCGCCGACCGCCGCGTAGACGTCGCGCACCTCCAGCGAGTTGAGCCCCGCCTCGGTAAAGGCGCCCTGGTGGAAGAACAGGTAGAGGATGGCGATGAGGAAGCCCAGGTCGCCGAGTCGCGTGACCACGAAGGCCTTGACCGCCGCTCGCGCCGCCGAGGGCCGGTGGTGCCAGAACCCGATGAGGAGGTAGGAGGAGAGGCCCACCAACTCCCAGAAGACGAACATCTGCAGGACGCTGCTGGCCAGCACCAGCCCCACATAGAGGCCGTGAAGAGCGCCATGTAGGCGTAGTAGCGCACGTAGCTCTTGTCGCCGTGCATGTACCCTACCGAGTACACCTGCACAGCGAGGCTCACGCCGGTGACGACGACCAGCATGATCGCCGTCAGCGGGTTCATCAGGATGCCGACGCGCACGTCCAGGCTGCCGACGGCCACCCACGAGTGGGACGCCCAGCCGATCTCGCCGTGGCCCGCCACCGTCTGCTGCAGCGCCCACAGCGACAGCAGGAAGGCCCCGCCCACCGCGGCGATGGTGACGTGGCCGGCCAGCGGGCTCTGTGGGCCCAGGAAGGGCCGGACAATGAGGCCGTTCAAGAGAAAAGCAGCCAGGGGAAGGAAGAAAATGGCCCAGGCTGCGGCTTCAGTCATGCTAGAGCTTCCTCAAGATCTCTTCCGCGACGTGCTCGCGGCCCTTGGGCACGTAGACGATGAAGGCGGCGGTCTCGCTCCACGCGAGCACGCCGTCCACCGGCAGGATGTGGCTGGGCAGACCCTCGGACTCGAAGGTGTCCTTCCACATCTCGGCCATCATCAGGCTTGGCGCCCGTTTGAACTCAACCCACATCGACTGTCTGCTCTTTCCCTTCCAACTCCGTTCGTCCTGAGCCCGTCGAAGGACACTACCGCCGCATGGAGCTCGCCTCGCCCACGTCCACAGACCCCTGGTTGCGGTACATCGTGATGACGATGGCCAGCCCCAGCGCGACCTCCGCGGCGGCGACCGTCACGATGAACAGCGCGAACACCTGCCCCGTCAGCAGCGTCTCCAGCCGGTCCGCGGCCAGCGCGAAGGGTGTCGTGTAGCGGGCAATGGCCACGACGGCCACGTTCACCGCGTTGAACAGCAGCTCAATCGACATCAGCACCGCGATGGCGTTGCGCCGCGTCAGCGCACCGTACAGCCCGATGCTGAACAGCACCGCTGAGAGGACGAGGAAGTGGTCCAGGCCAATCACTGGTCACCCCTCACCAGCGCGATCGCGCCCACGAGCGTCGCCGTCAGCAGCAGCGCGGCGGCCTCCAGCGGCAGGATGAACTCGCGCAGCAGCAGGCCGCCGATTGCGGGCGGGCTGTCGCTGAAGACACCCTCGGCCCCCGCGCTCACGGCGGGCGAGAGGGCGGCGTCGCCCAGCAGGTCCCACCGCGTGTCCAGCGCGACAAAGGTGATGATGCCCAGCAGCGCCACGCAGAGCATCGCCGCCGGGATGACCAGGCTGTTGGAGGGGCTGCCGCGCTGGGTGTCGCGGACCATCATGATGCCGAAGATCAGCAGGATGG